CATTCCTCCGACGCCAAGAAGAACTCAGCCCAGTCCCTGTCATTCAGCTGGATGCTGTACTCGAAGTTATCCATGCCTGCAGCAGCAAAGCAAGGGGAGGGGGCCGGAGAGATCAGGGCGTGAGGAGGGGGGCACCAGCATCAGCAGACATAGCTGAGCTGTATGCCCCTAACCCTTTCCCCTCCCGGGGTTCCTGCCCTGCTTCCCCGCCATCCGCATTCACTCCTCCTCACCCGTTTCCAGCTGAAATCAGTGGGAGGCAAGGGCAGCTCCTGGCAGATTCAGCAGGACAGGGATTGCCGTGTTGGACCACAACCCAACCGGCAGTGAGAGAGACCGCCGCTACCCCCCTCAGGTCCCTTCTGCCTCTGCTCCCCGAGCACAGACAGCAGCACAGAAACTTCGGGATTCTCTCCACAGCAGCATCGCACCTCACATACCCCTTCCCTACTCCTTTTGCTTACAACCCATTCAAAAATGTGGGGGATTTACGCTCTCGAGCATTCCTGCTGCCATGGCATCGTGCATGACGGTAGCATGAAGCACAGTCCAAACGAGGACATTTCAGCAAGCCACGGCAGCCCCTTCCATACCTGTGGCTTTTGGGGAGGGAAGATGCAACAGAGCCCAAAACCAGCAGGGGGGATCCAGGGGGATCCAGCGGTAGGAGAAGAAGCAGAAAAGATCGCAAAGCTGCACCCTACCTGTACCACAGCCTAAGCTGGTGATGGAGCCATTCAAAGAGCCACACAGGAAAATCCTCCCGGCACAACATGATGCCGTACCCTTGACGGGGGCAGAGAGCTCGGCTCCAGCACGGATCCATTCAGAGGCTAAAAATAGACCCCGCCCCCCCCCAGTGTGTCACTTGAGATGGGAGTGTGATGGGTTCCGAGAGGGCAGGCCCATATTTAGAAGCTGGCAGGGAAGATGTGAGGGTGGCAGCCAACGCGTTTCTGTCCCGCAGCCTTTGGGGTATCTGGGACCGCTCCCGATGCTCCCCGCTCGCTTCTGCCCTCTGCATGGGGTTGCTCGGTGGGATGGCCGGCAGAGAAGGGGTCCAGGCCCAGGCCACAAAGCTCCCAGCCTTTAGTACAAGGAGGAGCATGACGTCGGGTTGGCAATGACCGTTCTTTTTTTTTCAGCATACCCACCTCTTTGCCTCAGTCTGTAGGTTACCCATTTCTCGGGCGACAAAACCGTGCCTCAGGGGCACCGTTCGCCTATTGACGGCGCTCCTAGGGCACCTGCCGCCAGCCTACTGCGGATTTACATCAAAAGATCGCAGCCAGCGTGGCGGTCTTGCGACAAGCCTTGCGTGGTGCCTGGCAGCCGTCCCACGCCGCCCAGGAGCATCTGGCGTGGGTGGCAGAGGGAGAGAGGTTGGAGACTCAGGATGAGCCCGGCACGAGGGAGTTACAGGGGAAGCGACCGGCTGAGGGTGGCCTGATGGGTCAGCAACCGGGGCCAGAAATAGCCCTCAGCTCCTGCAAGTCCCGGAGCCTGCCTCCCACCGCATGCCCTCCCCTGTCCCGGGGGGGCCAGAAATAGATGCCCTGAAGTAGCTGCCTGCAGCACAGCACCCATAAGCCTGAGTCCAAGTCCAGCTCCAGCCCCTGCTGCCCAAGGGCTCCGACCACCCCTGGGGTCAGCAGGCTGCTGGAGACGCCAAACCGGAGATGGCGAGCCGTGTAGGGGATACGTGAGCCGAGAGGCCCCCACGTGCTCCGCAACCGCCTCGGGGGTCCTCGGCAGGGTCGGGGTGCCAGCCCTGTCGCACTACGTGCTCCAGGGAGCCCGGGGACCCTTGCCCTGCCCTGCCAGCACCCACCATCCCGCGGGAAGGAAGCTCCCCGTCGTGGCTGCCTTCACGCACTGCACTGCCGGGGAGCGAGCCAGAAGCACGCAGCCCACCGGCAGCTGGAGCAGAAGCGCGCTGCCCCGCGCCGCCGGGTCAATATTGATCAGGACACGCTTCCTTTCTCCGCGCTCCAGCCCAACGCACTCAGGGAGCTTGTCGGGCCGAGAAAATATGGAAGGAAAGAGGTCTGCTGTCTTCCCGTCCTATCTCATTTCTGATCTGGCTACACCCTTCTCCATCTCCCCCTCACACGCGCTTGCAGACGCAGAAGGGAAACCAACTGGCTTCCTTTTCTTGGCTGCAGTCAACTTCCTTCCCTTTGAGTCCGGCAGCCGGGGTTAGTCAGAAAAACCTTTAAACTCTGCCTTGCAAACCGCAGCAGAGAACATAAAAGAGACAGAGGCAGCGAGGCGGAACTGGAAGCCAGCAGCGGGCTGGCGTCCCGTGTTATCGGTGTCACATTTAAACCCAACGCCGGAGCGGCCGCACACACCAAACCCAACAGGAACTGCACACACCCCACCACACGTTCCGCCCTGGCCTCAGAGACACAAACAAGTCTCGGCGCAGGAGACATCCAAGTATTTATTTAGCTGTCCAGGGTAAAGCCCACACGCTGTCCTTGGGGAAATTACGCATCTGCTAGCGCTTCCCTGCCTTCCTCTGGGGGGGCCATAAAAGTGCAGCGTGGACTTCAAGGACGAGGCACGCTGCCCCGAGCCACGCAGGCTGCAGCAGGGGCATTATGCCGTCTGCGAAGGACGTGCAGCCGTCGCAGCCCGGGCGAGACCGTCTCCGATTACCTTCTGGCGTGTGGTGCGTGACCCTGCGCTTCTCTGGGATACCTGGCTCCAGCTTTCCAGAGGAGCTGATGCCAAATGCAGGGATGCTGCAGGGCTGCTCCAGCACCTCCGGACCAACGTGACCGGCGGATGCCGCCTGCCAAGCCACGGGCAGGCGGGCACAGGCCTCCCCATCGCCTCCCAGCACCTCCAGTATTGACGCTTTGGTATTAAGGACATTATATAAATAACTAATGTCAACGTGTAATTAGAGAAGGGCCTGAAATAAAGCAGCAGATGAGGCCTCTCTCTGCCTGATGACATAGGACACAGCGTGGGAGAAGGAGCCAGAATCAAGGGCATGGAAAAGGGAGCTAGGCAAGAAAACTGGAGTGCCATGGAGGGGCACTTCTTTTGGCATAAAGACCCCTTCTGCGGCTTCAGGCTGCACATTCGTTACTCCCAGTGTAAAGGGACTTCAACAAACTGGCAGGGGGGAAAGGAGCTATCGGAGCTATATAGAATAATACTCTAAGATAAGCAATTTCCTATCCAGGAACCTCCATTTGGGAAAATTCTACCTTCACAGAGCTTTTAAAATCAGCACTAAAACATCACGAGTGTGGGGGTTTTGGCTGAATTCACCGCCGAGACAACACAGACAATGCAGAGAAATGTGGGTCTGATTACAAACATATCCTCCCTGCCCTGATCTAGACCCATCACATGCTGTGTGTTAGAGGAGGAAGAGAGTGATGAGTTTGCAGGAAAAGCAATGGAAAGAAAAAAAAAAAAACCTATAATGGGAAGAGAATTACGTCCACAGCTTCAGGAGCAAGACTACGTTGGCCCTTGCTGCTTCCCACTGCCTGGGATAGACAGCTCTATTTGTGGCCTTTTTCTCATGCCGCCTTCTGCTTTGGCTTGATCATCAACCTTCAACCTTGGTCACTGACATAGCATGGCCTTGTCTGCCCATCTCTGGCTGATCCCTGGACTCTGGTTTTCTGCTGTCACAGCATCAGCCTTCCATCTTGTCATCTCCCCCCCGATCTGATTCATTTCTCCCCTTCCATAAATTCCTGCGAGGTACAAACTGCCACATAGATAGCTCAGCCCTTCATCTCCAGGAGTAGGGAATGTTGAGCTGCTCAGGTACAGCTTTGACCTTGCACTGCTAACAGCCATGAGACCTCCCTGGTGACGGGGAGAGCAAACAGGGAATTTAGATCTACCCCAGAGAAAGCCTGGGAGCACCAGTTACTCCATGCTGAGGAAGGGGTTAAGTCTGCATTGAAACTCAGAGTGCAATGAAGCCGTAACCACCAGTCTGGTTTTGCTGGTTTGGGGGCAGGTGAGCGGCTAGGAATTATCACCCCCAAACCATAAGAGGTCTGCATTGTTTTTGCCTAAACGCTTTAACTGTTTCATTGGGATTTTTTTGCCTGCAGCTCACTCCCCAGGCTCTCTTAAAATTCAGGCCCATGCTTCCCAAGCAGCCAGCAGCAGGCTCACTCAAAGGTCAGCCTGAGCTGACTTGAAACCCAGCCTGCACTTGCCTGAAACTCTGCCAAGCTCTTCCAAAAGGCTTGTATCCTGGCCTGAGTTTCGGGTTGCTAATCCAAGTCTCGCTGGGTTTCAGGTTTCCGTGCAAGCTTCGGCTTTGCTCTACGCAAGAACAGTCTCAGGCCACATCTACGCCGTTGGCTGGACCCTTCCTGCCGGGGCAGGGGTGGCAGCAAGGCGGCCACCTCCATCGCCAAGAAAGAGGAGACAGGGCAAACCGGGCACACGGCTGCCTCGGGGGCACAGGACACAGATGGGCTCAATATCCATAACCCTGGACTCACCATCCCTGAGGGGCAGGTTCTGCAATTCCCCAGCTTTGCCTCTCTCCGGCCGCTGCCAGCCACAGAAGCAGCTGCTAGCTGTCGGAGGACAGGCTAGACCTGAACTGGCCTGAAGCTTAGCAGTGCAAAGTTAGCCCACTGCCTTGTTTTAATCCAAAGTGTAGCGCAGTAATGCCAGACTAGCGCACGGTCTGTTGTGGCTGTGGTGTTTCTGGCTCGGCACCAGCAGCCGTCAGGCCAGGTGAGTGCTGTCAGGTCACAGCCATCTCACTTTTCACGTTGCTCACTGATGTGAAACAAACCAAGCATGCCAAGCTCTCTGCAAGTCATACCCAGACAGATAGGGCTATTCTATTTATTTTTCACAAGTCCTGAAAAGAAGCCGCTGGGCTGAAGTTCCAGCTCACAGCAATCAGAGTTTCACCACTGAACCCAACAGGATCAGTATTTTACCCGTGGAACTCATTTTTCCTGCCATTTCCACTAGATGTCACTTACAGCTAGAAAGTTAGCAGTTTCCCTAGATTTTTAACCTCCTGACGCGCAGGTCCATGTTAATCCTAAAAAGGTCTCTTAGATGTCCAGGATATTAGGACTGTAATGGTATTAGAGCAGGCAGGATTGCAGGCTGTAAGGGAGGGGTGCAGGGGAAGCTGACATCTCCCCAGCACCCCATCCAGCTGGCGTGGTGCCTCTAGGGGAAAGGAAAAAGCTGCGTTCCATAAGGCTGGAAAAGCAGGGTCTTTGCTAGCACCGACCTGTGCATGTCGGGAGTCTCTACAGCAAGCCTGTCCTGCTTTGTGCTGCAACGTTAGGCATCCAGTGATCCACGCAGGTAGGTCACCAGCTGCCACGTGTGGGTGTCCAAATCTCTGAAACAGCAGGCAGCAATGTATCTGCAGTCACCGACCCATCCTAAGCGCTTTGGGGTAAGGCCTGTTCTGCCTTTGCACATGTGAGATTCTTGGCCCTGAGCAGGGGCTCAGCGCTGCTGCTGCAACACGAGGCAGCAATACCAGTAGCATTACCAGTACGGCGCTGGGGTCACAGCACAGCCCAGGGCCAGGACCACTCCAAACAATGACAGCAACAAAAAAAAACCATTGGCATCTCCATCCTAGCGCCAAAGCAGCTGCCTCCTTTGCCCCAGAAGGCTGTCACACACCCAAGTGCTGGCTCAGACCTTTCCTTCAGGGCTTTTCTTCATATGCAAACCAGAGGGGTGCAGGCAGCCCAGGGCATTGCTGAGCCATCCCTTACACCTACCGCACCTGCAGCAGGACCTGTGTCCCCTCCCCACCACCTGGTTTCCTTCACAATCCCACCAGCAGGCTGAGCTGGGGGGGGGGCAGCTCCTCTCCTTCCCGGGGGGGGCTGCCGGGGGCTCAAGGGCAGGACCAAAGACCCCTCTGTGTGTGCTCCCCCCTCCCCGTGCTGCCCCTGTCCCAGCATGGGACCGAGTGAGATTGCCCCTCTAGCTTTTGGCATCAGGGTCTCTGCAAGACAGATGCCACTGTATCAGCTGTGGTACTTTGGGAAGTCCCCCCCAAAATGGTACTTTGGGCGATCCCCCCCAAATTGGTATTTTGGGCAATCCCAGCTGGGGATGAGGAGGTCCTCAGACCCATGTGGTAAAGGCATAAAGCAAAACTCACGGCAGCACGAGCTGGTGTCTTGGGCCACCTCTTTGGTATTATTTTTTCTCCCGCATCCAACATTGGGAGGTGAGGGAGAGAGGCTGCTTTGGGCTGGAACAGGGGAGGGGAAGGCACGCTGACCCTGGCCCTCAGGAGCAAGAGCAAGCTCCGGGATGAGATGCGGAAAGAGAGAAGGACCCGAGACTTTCTCACGGAGCATCAACTTGGAGAAGCTCTCCCCTCCCCATTCTGGCTGTGGGCCTGGAAAGGGCAACGGTAGCTGGACCTGCAGCCACAGCTCCATTTTCTGTCCAAGTCGCTGATTAATTATGTTTTGGGTTGCGAGGGCCTCCCCTCCCGCCCCAGCCCCAAATGCAAGCTGTTCCGCATCTGCAGGACTCCGTCAGTCCTCAAGGTCCCCAGTTCTTCACCCCTGCGCTGCCCACCCCCTTCCAAACAGATCCCATTCCCAGCTGAACGGGGCACGGCGGTTGTGTTATTCTAACTCCCAGCGTATCGGCCACTCCGCTGATCTCAGCCCACCCACTGTCAGCAGCTTCAAAGCGCAAAGGAGAGGTCGAGTTGCAAGCACAACAGACACCGGTAGCTCCTCGCACACGGCTGCTCTGCTCACCCTCTCCCGAGGGCCAGAATGTCCGGGAGCAAAGGCTCCAGCTCCTGGGGAGGCTGCCTTGTGCAGCACTCCAGTCTGGCTTGAATTAAATCAGCCTTGGAGAGCTGATGACATTAACCCTCTGAAAGCTGAGGCTGTAAAACAGGAATCCCCAAACGCTTTTTTTGTTACGGAGAGCCGCGCGCCCCTCTGCCCGCGGAAAGTGCTTTCAAAGCAGCTAGAGACTTGCCAGCGCTGCTTACTGCAGCAAGGGATAGGGAAACTCGTGCCAGCTGTTGAGGAGTGAGCTGTGCCAACAAGCAGCACTGCAGAGCGTTTGCACTGTGCAGGCTGATCCCCAAAGCCGGAGGAGTCCAAATGCCACTGTCAAAAAAGCTAAAGCTCTTTGCAAGCTGAAGGCTCCCAAGGACCTGACTACCTCATTCACCTGCTTTTGCAATACGCTGCCTTCAGTCACCTGTGAATTAAAAGTCCCAGTCCTCCAAAGAGCTCTTTCCAGGGAGTTAATTTGTCTCCACGTTTTGAATACAAAAGCCCCACAGAGAATAATGGCCAGGAAAATAACAACCGGTGGTCCTTATCTCCTCAGGTTGAAGGTTATTACAGAGGTTTCTGAGACAAAATTGGGATTAGAGCTGGGCCAGCACCGCAACGACAATTCTTGATTATCCATTTGAGTGCTTAAGGCAGCGTGTGTGCTTGGAGGCCTCCCACCAGCGAGGGTAGAACAGCAAATGTAAACCCTGAGTCGGGACAAAGCAAGGAGCCTTATTTACATCCTCCTAACACCTAGAGCTCCTGCCTGCCTGGGGGGGGGGCTGATTCTGCTGGGGGAGCCCAGCGCAAGGGAGAAAAGCTGCACGGGACATGGAAAGAACAGTCAAACATGAGGTCACAGGAGATGCAGAAGCGCAGGGCTGGGACGCAATGTTCCAGCGATCACTGGCGTCCCAGTTTTGGTGGCAAAATCAGAAATCGGAGTCTGGCTGGCTCCAGGGGCCCATACGCTGCTCTTGTCCACTAGACTGGGACGGCTCAACTGGCCTTCACAAGTCCTGATCTTAGCTGTAGGATGCCTTTGTAGTCCTGCGGTCAGGGAACAGAAACATCTGGGCACGATTCCCCTGCCCTATCTGCAAAGCATAAACAGTGATTAGGGACAGAGAGTTATTTGGGACCATTTAGCTGTGCTGTGCACATGCAAGCGAGCATATCCAAACACAGTACCATCTTATGGAGAGGACAGGTCCTCCCACCGCTTTCATCTTCACTTGCTCCCTGCTTATGACTGCTCAAACACAAGTCAGGTCAGTGCTGGCCACCCTAACGTCTTCTTACTCCCCTTAACTGGGTCTGGGAGCTCCCACACTTTCAGCTTGAGCCGGATGAGCGTGCTGCCTTCATGAACGCAGAGCGGCTTCCTTACAGCAGGCTTCTCTGCCTTTGCTCCTGCACTCATCTCCAGTTGCATCACCCCATGTTCAAATCTCCGTATTTTCCAGCACAAAGACCACTGCCCCCGAAGCCCACACATACTGTACACAGTTTGCTGGCCGTGGATCAATCTGCCTCTGAGCAGAACCAAACAAACCCACCTCCCTCTATCAGGCTATTGTCTTTTGAGGAAATGTTATTGTTCCAGTCTTGGAACTACTGCTTCAGCCAAACCCTTCCACAGCAGTGATTTCTTCCCATCTTCCTGTCTCTCCACGCCACATCTGGGAATCCTGTTTTAAGCGTGCATTTTTTCCTCCCCTTCTTACTGAAAGTAAGATATTTCTTTGCCCTATCCTTTGTGAGTGGGGTGGATGTGTAGCTTGCATTTATATTTGCATACCAGCTATTTGGGTTCTGACTGGGGACTGGGTGTTTCTGAGCTATTGAGTTCCTTTGCATGCTGCAAAAATTCTTGTGCTGCTTTGAAAAGAACTTAAGGTAGCAAATCCTGGCCTGGGGTTATAAGGAAGACTATGTTTTTCAGCTCCAGTCAGGCTTTTTACTGGTGAGGGCACAGAGAAGGCAGTTCCAGGACCCATGCGCTGGAAAATAGGTGAGGAGGTCTGGGGTGTATTTTAGGTCACCCCAGCCTTTTTGCGTGACCTTGCTTGGGACTTACCCTCTCTACTTGTGTTTCAGTGCCCTGGCCGTAAAACAGGGATGCAATAGCTCCTTTGCCTGTTCAGCACATCGGCACTGGCACCCTTTCCCCTTCTGCACTGTGCCAAGCACAACAAAGTGCCACTCTGGACCGGAGCCTCCAGACACTGCTGTAATAACAGTGCTAATAATAATGACAGCCCAGATGCACAGCACTAATGGAAATCTCTGTGCTACCTGGGGCTGCCAATGACTAATCTCTGGCCATTGATTTAGCAGCTGAGACCAAGCTGAAGAGACAATAACAACTGCAAAGACAGGAGCAGGCACCAGAATTACAGCTGGAGTGAGATGAAAGGCTCGGGAGGAGCACGGTCTACCCCTTCTCTCTTGCAGCGGCGCGTAGGACTCCTCTTCGCTTTGATAGCCAAGTCGGTCGTAGAAATACGGCATTTCTACCTCACGTCGACCCCATCTGAAGCCAGTCCTGTCCGCAGCCGCGACCATTACCTGACCTGAAAGCAGCCCTGTCTCCCCCATCCCTACCCGTCAGTGGGGCAAGACCCCCCCCGTGGGCACCGCGGGACGAGGGGGTACCCGGCGGGCAGGGAGCCTTGGCCAAGCTAATCAAGCTCCGCACGGGGCAGCCGGAGGTAATTGCCCAGGCAGCAGCCTGGAGTCTGGGGCAGGCAACGGGCTGGTGAAAACAGAGGCTGAAAACAAGTCAGGCAGCAGCTGACTGTTCGTGCACCTTTTTATTTCTCCCCTGGGGGATAAAGGCTTAGAAAATCCCGGCAAGGGACCAGGGCTCCCCTGTTCTGGCATCTTAACAAGAAGCAGCTGCTTGAGGCAGAGTGAGGAATCGCACAAGGAAAAGGCCCCATTGCATTAATTAAAGGTCACGGGGCCATTCCAGAGGCTTCCCAATTACCTCTGGAAGAGTGTCGCTAATGTGAGATAATGATGTCATACAGCCACTAATGAGGCAGGTTATCCAAACCCCAGGCCCCCCCTCCCCAAGAGGACGTGCTATCACCAGCGGACGAGCCAGAGGGAAAATGGCCACTCTTCCCCCTCTCGCTCCCCTCCACCTCTCCCTTAACGAACGCGCCTCACGGCGGCCCTGCCAGATAATGGAGCTGGGGGAGGCAGGAGGAGAGGCCAAAGCCCTCTTTGAGGGTTTTTTTTTTGTGCTGAGGAGCGTCTCAGCAAGGCCCCTTCTCCTCTCGCGTGGTGAATTGCTCCTCCGAAGCGATGTCAACAGGATATTGTTCGGCGCTGACCCCGCTCCCTCATTGCTCAGGCCAAATCCAGCCCCATTAGCGCTCCTTAATTGAACATAATTTGGAGCTGAAAATCTGCCTCCCGGTACGGAGGGCGACTCCTCGCGCCCCTGAGCAAGGGGGATCTCCAGCAAGCGGGGTGGATCGGCCCCGGCCGCGGAGAAAGGCCGCCGGCCCTCCTCTTCATGGCCCCACTCCGCCACAGCTCCTTTTTTCATTTTTTTTTGGTGCCAGGAGGCAAAGCACCCCTCGGGCTCTACCCCGGCAGAGGACGTGCCATCCCAAAGGGACGGTTCCCTTCGGGGAGCAGCCATGTCCTCACCTCCCCTCAGACCTGAGCTCCGGGGGGGGCTGCGCTCCCAAGAGCTGCCACGTCTGGTAAAACTTTGACTAAAGCAACCCCACGGGGGTCTTGGGTCAATATTGGTTTTGGGGACGGATGGAAAAAAAAATGTTGAAATGTTCAATTCTATCCGCCCTCCGCTGTGCTGCTTGTCTCCAGCCTCAATGCCTGGGCAGTCTAGGAGTGTAAACACCTCTTTGTCTTAGGGCTCAGGCACCAGGCAGGAGGTAAGGAGACAAAACGCTGTAACAGAGATTAAAGTAAGCCCACAAATGGAAAAAAGCCACAGGGCCCCAAGTTCTTTGAATGGGAAGAGGAGAGGGGACAGGGAGAGCAAGAGAAGCGCCCAAAATAAAACAAACAGCGCGTACACGTGGAGTTGAGTTGGCCATCCAGAGATTCAAAACCGACGGGGAAGGGGGACAGCTCACGAGGGGCTGCAAGACCTACGCTCTTTTTTTTCTGCCTTAATTCACCAAGGGCGGTGGCAGGCAGCTCCACACGGGCTCCATGCCCCTCCTGGGAGCAATCGGCTGGTCTCAGCCTCTCTCCTAGCGATGGGGGGGACGTGGCAAAGAAAGCAGCCCAGCAGCCTGAAAGGCTCACACCACCGCTCTCAGCACCTTTGCAGTCCTGTTCACCAACACGGCCCCCGGGGAACGCACGCCTTCCCCCCCCAGCCCTGGAGCGGGGTGCAGGGGTGTGCCTGGGTGAAGGGGTGCTTGCCTCGCAGCTCCGTGGATGGAGCCTTGCGAGCCAGGACGTTTCCGAACCAAAGCGGGGACCTTCCCCGGCATCCCCCACTCCGCAGGAATGCCAGGAGGCTCCTTCTCTATCCACGCAACGTTCGCCTTCAGAACATCAAACCTCTGCGCTGTGGCCGAATTGATCTGGCTACACGGGAGGGAATCCCGGAGGAGAAGCTGCGCAGTTGCATGAAAGCCGTGGCCTCAGCCTCAGCTGCAGAAGGCAGCGGCACCCACGCTGTGGAGGAGCACTGACCCAGTCCCCGAGTGCGTTCTCCAGGGTTCTGCAAATGAGTCAAGGTTTCTGGCCACCAGGCTTCTGCAAAATTGATGCTTAGGAGAAATCATGCTTCAGAGAGAGAGAGAGAGAGGGAGAGCACGATTCAGCACCTGCCTGGCTGCTCCCTCTTGAACACAAGCGGATCCAGCACTGAATTTACCATGGGAGGTGAGTAGAAGTTATGAGCAGCTTCTCCTTAGCCTCTCCCTGTTGTGTTTCCTGCTGCTCGCTCAGGTAGTTTCTGCAGCAGCACTGATTTGTTCCCCATACGAGGCACTGTCCCAAGCCTCCTCTTTCTTTAGGTCCTGCCTTTTGCCTTTCCAGATAATCTCTCTTTCAACGCAAAGTATTTATTTCCAACTGACTCAACAGTAGGAAAGCACAGGAGGAATCAAGAAAAAAAAAGAACAGGAGCTAGCAAATACGGAGAGCTGTTGCCCTTGCCCTAAGCTGAATGACCTGCAGAGCTGCTGGAAACCAGCTGGAAGGGGCAGAACAGGAGAGAGAGAGGCAGGAGAAGGAAGAAGCGATTCCTGCCAGCCTTGGGGCTAGGGAGATGGGAAGTCTCTACTACCTCGATGTGGCTTTACCCAAGATCTCGGCAAAACCCTCAGACCCACATCAAGAAGCTGCTTCTGCAAATGGGGGTTGCCTGCGGATGAACTGTAGTGAGACCCTTCTCCAGAAGAGCTGCTAACCCGTCCCCTGTCCCTAGCTCAAACCGAATCCTTACCCACAAGCACACACATAAAATAAGCAAAGTCTTCTGGAGCAAGAGCTGCCAGCTGCAATTTATCAGGCAACGGGAAGACACAGCACATGACTGGAAGTGAGAGAGCGTTTGCAGGGGGAGGCAGAGGTGGAGGGAGCAGGAGTCTCTTGAGTTCTCCCAGGAAGACAGAGCTGAGAAGTGCCGGGGTTATTAATTATCTGCAGCTTTCATCCCTCCCACATTCTGCAAGGAAAAAAAAGTTGTCAGGGCAAAATGAAAATGGGTGGGAGAGAAAAGAGATGAAAAGACTAAAGGCAGAAAAAGGAGGAGCGGAGGGTATGCTGGGATCAAGCTTTGCTAGAGAGAGGGTGCCAGGACCGGGAGAACACGGCGTTTTCTGATAAGGCGCTTTCTTGCCCATAGGCATCCTATTAATTCCCCTTACACGCTGCAGCGGCCAAGGGGTGGGGTATTTTCCGTTTGCCAGTACCATTACATCTGCTCTAGGAATTCTGCTCCCATGGCTCCCCCAGACTGGGTGGGATTTTTCCATGCACTTACAGATCAGGCTAAATCAACAAAAAATTTTCAAGTGTAGCCCTAACCTGCAGTAAAGGAAGAGACTGGGAAGGGCTGGAGCACTAAACCCTGACCTTTGCTAATCCACAGGCAATAACTCCGGGCGAGAAGTATGCTGCAGGCAATGTCAGACTTTGTTCTCCCTATGGGCAACATTTTTAACCTTAATAGCAGACGGGCTTTCCTGTCAACTTGTAGGCAGCAGCTGTGGGTCAGGGAGTTACTGCAGAGCTGTGAAGCTGTCAGCCGCCCGGTGAGCAATGGGTTGCTCACAGGACAATTCCAGCAGTGTCCGGTGGGAAGGCCACAGGGCTGGGACCTTCAGGAAAGCTGCGATGCGCTGCTGGCCTCCCAGGACACCTTATTCAAAACGGCACCTCCCTTTGCTTACTCCTTCCTTTCTAAAATAGAGATAATGAGGCTGAGACCTT